TATTGTAGAGATGAGGTCTCGCCAAGTTGCCCAGGCGGATCTCGAACCCGTGGGCTCAGATAATCCACTCGCCTCAGCCTCCCAAAGCATGGGATTACAGCCTGAGCCACCAAGCCCGGCCGTGTCCACATAATTTTTAAAAATGGCCAGGCATGGGGGCTCACACCTGCAATCCCAGCACTCCATGGGGTGAAGGCAGGAGAATCGCTTAAGCCCAGGAACTTGCAACCAGCCTGGGCAACATAGCAAGAACTCATCTCTAGAAAAAACTTAAAAATTATCTGGATATGGTGGTGTGGGCCTGTAGTCTCAGCAACTCAGAAGGCTGAGGCAGGAGGATCGCTTTAGTCCAGGAGTTGGAGGCTGTGGTCAGCCATGATTGTGCCACTGCACTCCAACCTGGGCAACAGAGTGGGACCCCAACTGAAAAAAAAAAAAAAATAGGAAAGTGAGAGGAGACAATTACAATGCAAAACTGCAGTAGCTTATAAATTTAATTCTGACTTATAAGCTATATATATGGGGCTACCACACATACATTTCATATATGCATATATGAACTTGACAAAGAATAAGCTCACATAAAGCTGCAAAGACATGAGTTAGTTATGTTAAAGTTGTAACCATTTACAACTTTAACATAATATTCAGTAATATTTTACTGAATTGAGTTACAATATTACTAAATTATTTTTCTCAACAGTGGTTTTCAAACATGTTAAGGTGACCAGATACTTGGAAGCCATGATGCCCTTTACACAGCACCGTGAATTGCTGATGTATTTAATTCCAGCATAAAATTATACAAGCGAGGAATGACTTTACCAGCAGAAAATATAACTTTATTATGGTTTCCACAGCTCAAAAATAATACTACTATAAATAAAATATTTATTAAACCACGTTTCATAGCATGATAATAAATAACACAACTGGAAGCGAGCCAACCACCCAGAAAGCCATCAAAGACAAAATGATGTTTGATGAGACAACGGCTCAATTTTGCCCTCTTTCCTGTCATTTGCTTCTGTCTGTCTGTAACTCCCACAATGGATTTCTTAACTCTCCAGCCCTGACTTGAAACCTGTTCATCCTGACTTGGTTCAACATTACCTGAGCCTCAGCTCCTCCCTGTAGCGGGGTCTCAATGCACTCCAGCATCTGCGGCAAGTGCTGGCCACCCCACCCCTAGGCGTGGGCGGAGGATCTCGTGGTGGCCCAGAGAAGGGCATGATAAGGATCCCAGTGCTCCTGTACATTCCTGAATAACATTCCTTAGAGCTAATGTAGGGTGCATTTCCCCTTATCTCCTATGTATTCCTATTGGGCAGCTTCGGGGGATCCTTGACTTCCCTGTAGCTGGCGCCCAATCTATTGGAAGATTGACTCCCCATCCGCTTCCCTTTCTGGGCGGTCACAAGTCCTGCGATCTGCATAAATTTTGTAATCACAAGTTTTGTGATTTACATAACTTATGCCTAATGCATGAAGTCTTAGGCCTTGTAAACTCTCCTTACAAAAGCCATGAGACACCTTCCATGCCGGGCACCAGGAAGTCTGTTTCTGAAAAGACAAAGTTAATCTTTACCTAAAGTATGCATTTCTCCAAAACATAGCTTGTACTTTTTCATCATGTCAGGGTTTAAGAACAAGGTGAAAAATGGCTTCTCGCTCTCCATCTGTCCTTTCATATGCAAAGTTCTTCCTTCTTTTATATGGGATTTTGGAAATTAACTTTCCAATGTATTGTTGCCCATTTTCAAAGCATTTCAGCATTGGTCTGGTTGGATCTATTCCATGATCCCTGCTTTGGTCTGAATGTTTGCGTTCTCCCCAAATTCATGTTGAAACTTAATTATCAATGTTAGTATTACAAGAGATATGAGGAGGTGGGGCCTTTGGGAAGTGATTAAATCATCAAAATGAACCCTCACGAACAAGGTTACTGTCCTTACAAAAGAGGTCCCAGAGTATTGCCTTGTCTCTCTCAGCATGTGAGGACACAGCTGGAAAGTCATTATCTATGAACCAAGGAAGAAGCCCTCATCAGACACTAAATCTGCCAGACCTTGACCTTGAACTTTCCAGTATCCAGAATCGGGATACATTTCTGTTGTTTTATACACTACCTAGCTTATGACATTTTGTTATAGCAGCCCAAATGGACTAAGACACCCTTCTGCCTTTTGGGTTAACTAATAATGTACATTAATAACTTCATCTATCAAACACTACTACATGCCAGGTATTGATATCATTTTATTTGATCTTAACAGACCTATGAGGCATTATCCCCATTCTGCAAATGAGAAAAAGGTGCAAAAAGGCCACATGACTTGCCCAAGATTTTGTGGCAAGTCAGTGGCCAAGCCAGCAGTCCAGTCTGACCTTCTACGACTCCCCATTGATAATGATCACCCTTGTCACAGTGATTTGCTACTGCCAGGAAGACCAACACTGCATAGACAGGCTTCCCTGTCTCTCTTCCTCCTAGTTTCCACCTGAGATTACTCTTGGGTATCCAGAAATAATTGATGTCACTGTCACCTGATACTAAAGGACACAGAGTCCAACATTCACGCTAAACTGCAAATCTTAAAAGAATGTAAACACATGTCTTAAAAACCCTGCTACACAATGACAAGCTGGTTGTGTGTATATTAAGCAGACATTACTGTTTAGTCAGTAAAGATAGCATAACATTATTTAGATTGAGGAATAAAGCATTTCACATCTCTTGCAGACACAAAGTCTTGACACCCCATAATTATTTGAACTTTTAAATAAAGTTTTAAATAAAAATTAAAAAACAAGCTATTGTGAATATTTTTTCTGTCATTTTAGAGTCATCTTTTTTCTTTTCGAAAGCAGGACTTATTAAGAGGACAGAAAAGCTCCCACAGTAGAAGGGGACCCAAAGGGGTTTCCCTGAAGTTGCCTTTTCTAAGGGCATGGTAAGCCATATGGTATTATATTAGTGATGCTCTTTGGACTGCTTCAATTTTCTGTTAACACCACCGGTTTTATGGTAAAGTGATTTATCCCTTTTTTGTGTTTCAGTCTTATTCATGGTTGTTCATGTGGATGAAATTTCTACAAGTTAAAGAATCAAGCCAGATGCAATGGCTCACACCTGTAATCCCACCACTTTGGGAGGTGTAGATGAGAGAATTGCCTGAGCTCACAGATTCGAGACCAGCCTGGGCAACATGGCAAGCCCTTGTCTCTACAATAAAAAAAAAAAGAAAGAAAAAGAGAAATAGCTAGGTGTGGTGGTGCATGCCTGTAGTTCTAGCTACTTGGAAAGCTGAAATGGAAAGATCGCCAGAGCCCAGCAGGTCAAGGCTGTAGTGCCTGTGAGCATGCCACTGCACTCCAGCTTGGGAGATGAACTGAGACTCTGACTCAAAAGAAGCGCCCCCCCCCAAAAAAAAAACCCCAAAATAATAATCAGAGGTACCATATATTGAACACTAAACATTTTTAATTTCCTTAATTCCTCTCTTTCATACAATTACCATCCTGATGTGTCCAAATGTGGATTTTTCAGGTAATATTTTGACAAATGTATTCCTTACTGTCTTATTTGGCAGAGTAGTAGAAGTTGAACTGTTCCTCAATTCGATCCTTATGACTTAATATGCTAAGCTGTAACACAGCCATGCCCTTTGGGCTTTGTGTGCAATGCTATTTGCCCATGCACTTTGCAGCTGCCACTCACCACCTAAGCGGCAGTGACTCCACCAGTTCTGTGAGCTGGTCAGCATTCTTCCCTTGCTGTTAGACATCCTATGCCTTCCTGCTCCCATCTGGACCCTGGCTTTGCTCTATCTGTATCTAATCAGGTGTGGGCTTGGAAATGTGTTAGCCCAAGTTGCTATCATAATGTATTCACTCTGTCAGTAAGGTTCTTCATGAGATTTGCAGGGCTTTCCCAGGAGGAAAAGACAGTTCTGCTAGACAGTTCTGCTTGTAGTCTTTGTAACATGTATGTGGCCTACATTGATTCTTAGAGGTTCTGTGAGCCTAAATAATATTTTAATTATGTTTTTCGTTTTCAGATCTTCCTACAATTTCCTAACATTTTATCGCTTAAAAATATTTAAGTGAAAAGTGTCTTTAAATCAAATTTTAATTTCCATAAATGTCTAGAGCTATGGCTACAAATTAACATGCAATTTGAATTGGTGTTCTTTGGCGGTATGCTTAGAGGAATGGTGACCAGATCTTAACAGCAGGAATTATGAAGGGTTGCCAATACGTTCTCTAGTGAGAGGCATTTAACTTTCTGGTGTTCATCCTGATAAGAAGGTTGATAGTTCAAACAATTTATTGCTGCTTTATAGTATACATAATTAAATGAAACATGTTAAACTCAAGGGAATTTTTAATAGGTTACTTGCAATTGTTATTGCAGGCAACAACTTGTACATGATTTTATTTCCAAATCCACAAAAAACAAATTTTATACAAATCAGCACTGTAAAAATGTCAATTACAGCCCCAGAGGCTTTGCTGGCAGAATAATTGTCTAAATTCTAGGATATGGGAAACAGGTTTTTTTCTGAATTCATCTTTTTTTTTTCCATTTTCTTTCTTTCTTTTTTTTTTTTTTACAAAAAAAATTTACAAGTGAAATGTTACTACAAAACTTTTTATAAGGAATTTTTGCAAAACATTTACATTTTACCATCAACTATTTCTGTTTTAAAATCATTATGTAGATTTAATACCCTATGCTGCACATCAATTTATGTGGGATGACAACTTAGTGACATGCATAAAAAAACACCACAAGGCATTAAAATGGAGACTTAAATACAAATATTGTTGCAATAAAACAGTTATAAAATTGAAAAATAGGACCTAAACATCATGCTTATCTAAGTTTGACAAATTAACTTTTTCTCCTAGATTACACACTTTTATTACTGCTCTCATGACAGTGTGATAAATAATGACTTAACATCAAGTTCTAATGTAATCAGCAACACATACACAAACCTAACCAAAGAAAGTATACTGTAAGAAAAAACTATTCTAACACTGGAGTTTTACCATGATAAATACATAGCTTTGCACTGATAATTACAACAAAGAAAAGTTTTATAACGGTGGCAAAGGGAATGGACAGTGAAATGCCATTAAACAAGACCCTACTGCACATCTGTGCCCTATTACTTATAACAGCTATATCCCACTGAGTCAAATAAAGGACACTGAAATTTACGATTCTTAGAAGACAGAAAAGTGGACTCAGAATGGTATGCAGAACAGACTGCCAAAATATTTCTAATTTCAGTGGTGAAATGTGCACCTGCTAACACAAATTAATATATTTCATATGCTATAAAGCTATCCAGATTCAGTTTGATAAATTTATAATAGGCCTCATTGTTGATTAAAAAATAACTTCCACTTCTAATGAACACACATAGGTTTGCATTAAAACTGGTTCATGGAATAGTGATGCAGAGTGCTCATACTTAGTATCAACAACGAAAAGTATCACTCTGAGGAAACATGATTCAAACATTAAGAAAGTTTCTTTGCATAAAAAAATTTATAGCACTGATTGTGTAGCATAATGATAGATAAAATATATATTTGATGTTTCAGCTCCTATATAATAAAATTAAAATTAGCACTACCAAATGCTCTTCTGTACCAAACAAAACAACAAAACTGATTCTGATGTTTTAAAGCCAGATACATCAGTTGTTAGGAGTACATTAAATAAAATATACAAAACAATTTACAAAATCCAACTAAAATTTAAAGACTCTGTTACAAGTCTACAAAAGCTTTAAGAAACTTGAAATTTATAACCACAGTGTAAAAATTTTTTTCCTTTAATCTCAAAGCTTTTTTATACAAACTGAAAGCACAAAAGACCTTCAGTTTTATATAACGCTACAAAGGGCTGGCCTAAAGTGTACATAGTGTAAACAGTGATCATTACAGTATTTCTCCTTCAGCAAAAATACAAGAAACATCACAATTTTGGAAGAGAATTCGCATGAGTACTTTTCCTGAAATAATACAGAATGCACAAGAAAACACGTACCTATAGTCAATCTGTCCCCAAATCAATGATGTTAATAAACTGAGCTGAACAAAACTTTAGTTTCCATATGGTTGATTCTGTGTAAATAATTTTTTAAAACATAAAATGTCTTATTGATGTTTAAGTTACTGGTATAATCCAATTTTTTTTCACATGAAACTTTTGGCCATCTTTCCTAATAAGACCCTTTTCTATAAGACCCTTGCATAAACAATGAAATATATTTTTCTTTAGTCACTTATTTGACTGAAAATTATTCTGATTTTTTCAAAAATAAGTTTTGCTTCATAATATATCTATTATATACTTGTTAGGCTAATTTTTAGGGAAAATTAACTTATCGTCATAACATAAAGATATTACTGTGTTATTCCTAATTAACCTTCTAACACAGCACTAGGAATAAGTGGGACTGGCCAATTTTTAGTAGAGAAAGACAAGAATTATAATGTAGTTAAAAAAGACAATTTTCTGCTGGCCTTGAAAAAAAGTATGATAATTCTTTCTTTGGCTACCAAGTCAAAGCATAAAGAATTCTGCACACTGTCAACATAACTCATATTTACAGAATATGAAACTACAGAACAATTTACACTCTATGCAAATATTTCCAATATAAACATTTAAAATGAAATTTTGTGGTTCAATCTATGGTTAGGAATATAATCAATCCTAACTTTAAAACGTTGCAAGTTAAGTAGCCTCATTTTATTTTTCTGAAGCTATTATGAATTTTGTCTTAACCATTTTTTCTCCCAGCATTTTCCTAAGGTTTCGGTCTAAAATTTAATCTAAGATTTATTTAGCTCTAAGTTCCTCTTGTGTCTCCAAATGGAGAAAGTAACTGGACTTCACTGATTGTCTGCATACACACTACTATAATGTAGTGGTAATAAAGATCTGAGATGCATCTCAGATTGTTGTTTTGGAACTTACCTAATTCAACTGTTGAAGAATTTCTAACATTTAGAAAAGACGGCCAAAACTATTTTCGATTGCGTTTCCAAAAATCAAGCTAAGGAAATACAGTATTGCCCCTATCATCAGTTAACTACCTGTTTTCTGTGCTAGAGAAAAAGAAATACATGTAAATTATTATGGACTGAATTTATAACAAAGTACGTTCAAAGAAAATAAGTCCAATTTAAGGTCCAGCCTGCAAACTACTGAGGTCTGTCTTTTTAAACATGTTAACACATGATGTTAAGAGATAGGAAGATTCTGTGTAAAGGTTATGCGATATATTTCCAAATAACTACAACTTATAGTATGGAGGAAATACTTTTCTATCTGTTTCCAGCACATCAGTTTGTTTTTTGTATTTTTTAAAATTCAACACTTCATGTGTTGACCCCAAACCCTGGAATACTTTAAGAAGCCAAGAATGAAAACATGATTTCCTACTCCGTAATCCACTTGACCAGCCCATTTCCAGATTTCAAAGGTGTGTAAACGTTAAGTGCAGCACTGGAGGTCTCTGTTATAAATAACTCTTCAGAATTCTTCCATGTTGGTTGAAACATTAGGAGTTGCTGGATTCGAATCTTGAGAAATGGCTGCAACTGTGACAATTCTTGGGGAGCCAAGCACCTCTGTAACAGATGAGTCCAGTTCTCCCGAGGTAACAATGGCAAGAGCTGTCCCACCACCTTTCTTATTCTGGTGCGTTTTGACATGTTTGGAGAGATGATCACTCCGCATAAATCTTTTAGAACATTCTGGGCATTCAAACCTCTTTTCACCTATACAGAAAAATAGTAAATGAAATTATACACATTTTCCTTAAATTATACTTTGTAATAATTTCCCTTGTGGTCCTACTATACTTTTTAAAAATAGTTTATCTGTTTCATTTTAAATGCAAATAGCAATGTAGTACAGGAGAAAGACCAAGTGATTGGGAATAAAAGACCTGAAGTTCTGGTTCTGCTATGAACTGAATATAAAAGCTGGAGGAAATAAAATAGCCACTCTGTCACTCAGTTTCTCCCTCTGCAAAACAAGGTGATTTTGAAAATCTTTTTCAGGCATAACAAATATATAATGGTCAAGGCTCATGTCCACTCTTCTTTAAAACTGCTACCTGGGTTTTAGTTTTAATCCCTAAGGGTATGAAATATCTTAGAACTATTTCAAATAAATGAAATTAATAATTTAATAGTATACTTAGTTCTTCACAAGGCAAGAATGGGAGGCAGACATAGATTGTATTTCAAGTTTAAGAGTTTTTAGGTGCCCTCCATTTCTCCATCATTCAGGAATGACACTGATGTTGAGGCTGACATACTGTTAAGAACAGTAACTACCATGACTTCCAGTACTCTGACAAAACCTCAGATGTGGGGCCTTCTGGCCAAGCCTCTGTGATTTCATATTGTTGGAGCATTCATTGTATCCCTGGGGGTTGCAACTTTCTGTAAGTTTACTGTGGGTGAACTAAGAAAGAAGGCATATGCAGATTTCTACAGAAATCAGAATTCCATGAAGGATTCTGAGGAGATGGGGCAACTTTCTGAGTGCAAAGTGATTTTGGAATATAAAAAATTTCTTTGAGTTGAATTACAAAGAAGTTTGTCACTCATAGTTTCCTGAACTATGAAACATGCTTTGTGGGATGAGAAGTAGTTTCTCTTAATAAACAATTAACAAATACTTTAGAAAAAAATATTATCAATTCAACAGAAGCATAAAAAACATGCAATTAAAAATTCAACACATTTTTACAAGAGCTCCTGGCAAACCAGGAATAAAAATTAATTCCTTTTATCTGCTAAATATCATTGATAGCACTACAAATATCATAATTAATTAAGAAACTTTAGAACTATGATCTTAAATATCAGTAACAAGATAAGAATGCTTATACACACACACACACACACACACACACACACACACACACGCACGCACACCTATCACTACCACTATTCAATATAATATTGAAAATTCAGACCAAGGCAAAAAGTAAAATGAAATGAGGCACAATTATTGGAAGATAAGAAAAATATTGAAATAGATTATCATTACCAATTACATAGAAAATCCAAGAAATCAACAATCAGAACTAGTGGATTTCTCAAGTTGCTAGATTCATGATCAATAAGCAATATCATTTGCTCCATTAATTACATAAGTCAACACATGATGCAAATACATATCTATATATGTATATAAAGAATCTAGGAATGACTAACCAAAAAATAAAGCATATTTTAAGTAAAATGAGTGACAGGAAAGATGTAACATGTCCTTGGCAGGTTTGTCATTATAAGAATGGTCAATCATGGCATCCGTGTACATACACGGGGGGAAGACAAATTCAAGCAAATGAGTGTGCATTGTGCATAAGGCCCCACCTCCAGGCCAGGCAGGGACCTCAAGTTCGCCAAATTTTGTGAGCATGTTTTTGGCCTCTGACCTCATCTTACTCCAGGGTCCAGTTGGGTTTCAACAGGAAGAAATTGGAACTGTTCTATCCAAGGGTGAAATTAAGTAGTGGCATACTTTTTAAAAAACTCTACTTGTAGTATTTTTTTTTTTTTTTTTTTTTGAGTTGTGGTCTCTATGGCCCAGGTTGCAGTGCATAGAGGGGCACGGTAACAGCTCACCACAACCTCAAATTCCTGGGCTCAGGCTGCCCTTCTGTCTCAACCTTCCAAATAGCTGGGACTACAGGTGTGTGTCACCACACCCAACTAATTTTTTAAACAATTTTTTGTAGAGATAAGGTCTCACTATGTTGCCCAGACTGGTCTCAAACTTTTGGGCTCAAGCAATCCTCCTGACTCAGCCTCCCAAAGTGCTGAGATTACAGGAGTGAGCAACTGTACCTGACCCATTTGCAACATTCTTATAGAACTTTTGTCTTTCACAGTCTTAAGAAAATAAAGGATGAATAAATTCTGTAAAAATGAATTTCAAATACATTCAAAATAAGTACAGCTAAGAGAAAGGGACTTGAATTTTATGAATACTGACACTTAGGTAAGACTGAAAAGAATTAATTACAGTTGAGGATCAATCCTGAACTCATTTACTCTTTCAAATTTCCCATCTTATTTCAAAAGAAAAATTCTCAGTTTATATACTTAAAGCTGGAAGAAATCCCAAAGATTTCATATCTCCATTTTATAAATGAGTAAGTTGAAGCTCAGAAATTAATTTGCTTGGGAATCATACTTATCCAACTGAATGTCCGAGCAGGATCCAAGGCACTTGATTTCTAGTTAATGCTACATCCCAGAGTGCAGCTAGAGACTGCCATTATTTTATAACAGCAATGGCTGTGAATTTTCAGGTGGTGACAGCCTAAACACATTGGGTCACTCTGTAAGTGCACAGCTGCAATCAACCTGTACACAATAGCTGTTTAACAAATATACTTGTTAGTTGTGATGTTTGCGGACTCAGTAATTTTTTTAAAAAAATATTTGCAGAACATCTGCCATGTACTAGGCACTGGCGACATGAAAACAATCAAGTAAGAGTCTCTGAGCTTCCATTCTTTTAAGATAGTTATCTGCAACCATGTGGAGTTATCAGTACCAAGTAATAAATAAAGAAATTCAAGTCCCTAGCTACTCAGTAGTAAACTGTTAAGTAAATGGGAAATGACAGTGACATCGTTTAACATGTGTGGACTTTCTAGCCCATCTGTTCATACCTGGTAAGGGTATCTAATTAATTTCAAACAACAGACACTGACTAAAATCTCAAATAAAAAAATTATGTTGAACAATTACACTTTCATTAGGTGAATAATTCAGTCCAGTTTATTAGCCTTTACTATAAGAAAGGAAGTTTTTGCCATGTCAGATAATTTCTGTATGTCCGACCCTTAGCAGACATTATCATTATACTTTACCTCAAGGAAGTAAAGAGTGCTTATACTAGCTATATATGACATTTAAATTATTTTATTCACAGTATATTAATACTGTTAATAGTTAATGCCACCAATTATTTAAAAAGTTGACATTATTCACTGTGGTAGAAACAATGGCTCTACAAAGACATCCATACTTTAATCCCTGGAACTTGTAATATATTATATAACATGGTAAAGGGGACTTTGCAAATGTGACTAAGGTTTGGATCTTAATATAAAGGGATTATTCTGAATTATCCTGGGGCACCTGATTAAATCACATGAACTCTTAAAAGCAGGAAGCTTTCTTCAGCTGCAATTAGAGATTAGATGAGAGAAAAACTTGACCTGCTGTTGCCAAAGGGGCGAAGAGAAAACATGGAAAGGAAAGTGGGCTGCCTCCAAGAGTAAACACTGGCCCCAGGGGACAGCAAGCAAGGTAACAGGGACCTAGTTGCTAAAACAGCAAGTAATTAAATTTAGCTGATAACCTGAATGAGTATTGCTGGCATGGTGGCCCATGCCTGTAATCCCAACTCTTTGTGAGGCTGAGGCAGGAGGACTGCTTGAGCCCAGGAGTTCAAGACTAGCCTAGGCAACATAGCAAAACCTCATTTCTACATGTCTGTAGTCTCAACTACTCAGGAAGCTAAGATAGAAGGACTGCCTGAGCCCAGAAGGTCAAGACTGGTAAGCTGTGATCATGCCACCGTACTCCAGCCTGGGTAACAGAGTGAGGTCCTGACACATAAACACAAAAATTCCAGCAATTAGAAAACCTTTAGTAAGTAACGCAGTCCTGTTGACACCTTAATTTTTGTTATGTGTGACACTGAACAGAGCACCCAGCCAAGACAAATCAAATTTCTTACTAAAGAAACAATGAAATAATACACGTGTGTTATTTTAAGCTGCTAAATTTGTGGTAATGTGTTGTGATAGCAATAGAAAAGTAACCTAGTTATACAAGGATTATTTTTTACGGACAGGTCCCTTGTAACACAGATTTCTCCCGCTAGGTTAAGTGTTCTGGGAACCCATCAGCAACAGTGTACCAGCTAGCATTGTTGTGAAAGGTTGCATTCAGCTTCAGTGAATTTTTGGGAGGGAGAGTCTTTCAACACATTTGCCCAATTCATGATGGGTGATTTAGGAGTGCACCTGCCCACACCACGCTGGCAGTTTGTTTGGCAGTATTTGACCAAAACCGGCATGACCCTGGAGCCCCACTCTCCCTATTCACCAGCTCTCACCCAAGTGACTTTTGTTTGTTTCCCCAGATGAATAAAGTCCTTAAAGGAAAATGTTTTGCTGGTGTGGAAGAGGTGAAACAACAAATGGAGAGGCACTAAAAAGGCATCAAAATCGACCAGTTTAAAAAGCTGTTTTGAGCAGTGGAAAAAGCATCTCTATAGGGGTACTACTGCAACAAATGGAAAGTATTCTGACGATTACTGAAGTTTAAACATGTTAAGAATCACAATTTTTTAATGAATAAATTCCAGGTTTTATTGGGATGGGGCCCTCATATAAGATATCTTTAAAAAAATTTAACCCCCCCCCATCTGACTCAGAGAGACAGACACCCCTCCCCTATGCTGGAACAGGCACAGACACGTCAGATCTGAGTAGGAAACCTGACAGCAGCAGCAGATGAGATGGGTGAGTCTGGATCTGATCCATCCTCTCCCCACAGTAGTGCAGTAGGTGTCCACCCCACACGTGGGACACCTGACCTATGGTGAGAGCAACCCTATCAGCCTGCGCTGAAAGTGGAAGGGATGGGCTGGAGATTGGAGCTACTCCTTTACATGGCAGCCGAAAGGGACGTGGAGTTACAAAAATAGCCACAGAGCAAGTTTTGTTTGTTTGCTT